AAGACTGCGGAATTTACGTCGTTTGCCAAAAATGATCACAAGAGGCCAACGGCTGTTAGCCCACCACTGTTAGCCCACTTGCTGGAGTCTATCTTCTGCGATAAAAGCGGCAACAGCACAAGCAACAGTTATGGGGGGATAGGGGTCAATTAAGCACCAGTGACGTCAGGCCTGAGGTGACTGTGCAGGGCGATGTATTCCGGTGCTAGATCAATAAATCGATTGACTGAGTTTTCATCGCAATAAAAACATGGCTCCGGCCAGCGAACAGCCTTCGTCTCGTTTACTTATACACACACATAAAATGCAAATATTCGCCACAATATTTGTCAATAGTACCAGTTTTGGTCAGAGCCTGCTTGTCCATCGGCATAAATCCTGACCCTGTATGATATAATCGCTAATCAATGTACAATAATGAGAGAATATTCGCATTCCAGGTGTGTCTATTGGTAAAAAAAGACAAATGATCGAGAACTGGAACGAAATTTATTTTTTCCTGAGCTTTCGAGCTCCTGCAGGAGCCTATCGTCAGACCCAAAGCTACAATGCGCAGCAGAGCGATGAAAATAAAAGACCGGCTTACGCAGAATGAACAATCTGGAATAGTATATCGCATCCCATGCCTAAACTGTCCCTGTAATTATACATGTCAAACTGAACGCATGCTCGGATCGCGTATATGTGAACACAAGCAGGCCGTGCGACGAGGCGACGAATTATCACAAGTTGCAACTCACACCTACGAAACAGGCCATGAGTTCAACTTCGCTGCCGTCAAGATACTCGTCCACGCGGGAAACAGGACGAGCAGAGAATTTATCGAAGCCTGGTCCACGTATGAGAATTCTGTCAACAGATGTGTCAAATTGGCGCCGGCGTACAGGGCCTTACGCTATTGCAAACGATCACATCCAGACGCCCGCCGTAATTAACTTGCCTACCATCCTCCATACTCACCCCACTTTCGGTGCTGACGTAGCCATTTGGCGCCCAAGCCTAAACAATCCCTCTCCTCTCATCCTCCTTCCCTTCTCCTATGACTTTTTTAATTG